AGGAATCCATCAAAATCCTTGAGAACAGAACAGAGACAGCAACCTCTGTGACCTCGGCCGCAGCAACTTCTGGCTAGACACGTCTCCAAAGGCAAGGGAAACAGCAAAGGCAAAAAAATGAACTACTGGGACTTCATCAAGATAAAAAGCTTTTGCACAGCAAAGGAAACAGTCAACAAAACTAAAAGGCAATTGACAGAATGGGAGAAGATATTTGCAAATGTCTTATCAGGTAAAGGGCTAGTATCCAAAATCTATAAAGAACTTATCAAACTCGACACCCAAAGAACAAATACTCCAGTCAAGAAATGGGCAGAAGCCATGAACAGACATTTCTGCAAAGACGACACCCACATGGCCAACAGACACATGAATAAATGCTCAACATCACTCGGCATCAGGGAAATCCAAATCAAAACCACAATGAGATACCACCTTACACCACTCAGAATGGCTAAAATTCACCACTCAGAAAAAGACAGATGGTGGTGAGGATGCGGAGAAAGGGGAACCCTCTTACATTCACTGTTGGTGGGAATGCAAGCTGGTGCAGCCGCTCTGGAAAACAGTACAGAGGTTCCTCAAAAAGTTGAAAACAGAGCTACCCAATGACCCAGCAATTGCACTACTGGGTATTTATCCCAAAGACACAGATATAGTGATCCGAAGGGGCACCTGCACCCCAATGTTCATAGCAGCAATATCCACAACAAACTGCAGAAAGAGCCCAGATGTCCACTGACAGATGAATGGATAAAGATGATGTGGTGTGTGTGTGTGTGTGTGTGTGTCTATATATATATAGACACACACACACACGTATATATATACATAATGGAATATCACTCAGCCATCAAAAAATGAAATCTTGCCATTTGCAAAGATGTGAATGGAAATAGAAGGTATTACGCTAAGGAAAATAAGTCAATAAGAGAAAAACAATTAATGATTTTACTCATGTGGCATTTGAGAAGCAAAATAGAGGAGCATGGGGGAAGGGAGGGAAAAATAAGATGAAAATAAAAAGGGAAGCAGACCACAAGAGCCTCTTAACTCTAGGAAACTGAGGGTTGCTGGAGGGGGATGGGGCAACTGGGTGAGATGAGCATTAAGGAGGGCACTGGGTGTTGTATGCCAAGTGATGAATCACGAAATTCCTCTAAAAACTAATAAATATACTACATGTTAAGTGAATTTAAATAAATTTTAAGTAAACATTAAGTTTTAATTGATGTATCAATTAAAAATTAAAAAAAAATGTGTAGAATCTGGCCACAAAAGACCTGGAAGTGCCCTCCGATTCAGCTAGAAATAAGAAGCAAGATCTTAATGCCTGCCCCACAGGTCAGTAAATCACCCTGAGCCCAAATACAGTCAGTCAATGGGTTTCAAAATAGCTCATTTCTACAACAATACCAAATGCTGGCTAGAAAGGTCTGACAATGATAACCAGTGTTGCAAAATATGCACATGCTAGCACACAAACAGGCCTCTCGGATTTCCTGAGTATCCTTAAAAATCAGATTCACACATCTTTATGATGCAATCTTTTTTTTTTAAGGATTTTTATTTAATTATTTGACAGAGAGAGAGAGAGAGACAGCGAGAGAGGGAACACAAGCAGGGGGAGTGTGAGAGGGAGAAGCAGGCTTCCCGCCGAGCAGGGAGCCCGACGCGGGGCTCGATCCCAGGACCCTGGGATCATGACCTGAGCCGAAGGCAGACACTTAAAGACGACTGAGCCACCCAGGTGCCCCGCATTAATAAGCTCTTAATACAACAGTCCCTGATCTCAGCCTGCTCACAATCTGATAGAGCAGCAAAATGTAACTTCCTGGAACAGCGGTCTGGAGTTGGTACGCACTGTCACTGCCCAATGGCACAGACGAGGAGGTCTGCAGGAAAGCGGAGGAGGACGGACCCCAGTACAGGTTTAGGGGCGCCAAGCACACCACCCTTGCATGTGCACACCATCCAAAAGGAGAAGTAACAACATCTCCTAGGAGACTAAACACATGCCAACCATCTTACCTAGATCAAGTACCAGTCAAGTTCACAAAGAAATCAAATAGGTATTCATTATACCAAAAAATTGAGAAAGAGTAAATTAAGATGGCTTGGTATTTATTCTAATAACCAATTCTGTGGATGCCTATATAGCTACTGGAATTCTCAGATGCCCACATGTCAAGGCTTTAGGTGTGGAAGATGGCAGGCAGAGAATTGGCAAAGTGTTTTCATGTGTCTTTCCACTCCTTGAAGGGAGGGACCCTCTCCGTGACCATTCTGCATGTCCAGCTCCTCCCCCTTCCACACCCTCAAGCCTCGCTACACCCCTGAGGTTATTAGGCTCTCACTTACCTTTGCATTCGGGAACACTAATTTCAAAGATAAAAAGGTGTAATTTTATAAAGAGAAAATGCTTTACAGTTTGCATGCTTACTTGTAACCTCTACCAATGGATTTCAGGCAATCCAAAAACTGTGGTACTTCGTAGTTAACCAGTGTTTTCAACTGACCATCTCCTACACCATCCCGATACACGATAATTCGACTAGGCATGTATTCATTGCAGCTATTCCAAGCCCTGAGAGCAGCTGAAAGCAAGCCAGAAAAGTTTTAAATCAATTAACACAGAATAAAAACGGTGTGTTGCTATCAAATTCTGCCCAGAATTTCAACAACATAACTTGAGGATAATTTCCTGAAGACCCCAGTTCAGAGACTAGGAATGGAAACACTACAGGAGACTAACCTTGCAAGCAGACTTTGAGCCCATCTACAAGCTCTTGTCCTCGATCTTGAAATACACAGCGAGAGAACCAGCTGTTCAGAGAGACAAGGACGAGGGTGAGAACGGTACTGTCTACAAGTTGTTCCTTCTGAAGCACTTCGCATTTATTTTCTCTCAGCAGCTTGTAATGTTTAACCCTTCTCAAGATACCTGCTAACATTTCCAATACTTTATGAAATCTAAACAGAACAAGACACTCATAACAGCACAAAAGCAGCTTTCTTTTATTACAAATCAATACTATAATTCCCTTGCTGAGGAAAAAATAAAATTTAAACTATAATACCCAGAGACAGCTCGTAGGCTTACACCTTAGTACACATAAGGAGCCCACTTCCTGCTCTGCTCTTTAGAAGACATTTATTACAGATTTTACGCTTGGGAAAGATATAAGACCTAGAGAAACACACCCATTAGCAACATGCACATGCCAATATACATTTTTAATTTCCATCCTTTCCTATTCTTGAAAATTCTCTTAGTTCTAAGAAAAGCACTGAAAAGTAATGATGTATGTTGAAACACAAGTGACTGGGTAAACTGGATTTTCCAAAATAAAGTTAACACAAAAACTTTAAAGTACATTTCAGCAGTCAAAAAAAATTATTAAAGAAGTCTCAGGGATGGTTGCATTTAATGAGATACACCCTCCCCCAAACAGAAATAATCATAAAATAGCCTGAAATGCAATCTGACTACTATAGATTAAGGGCCAATGAACAAAGTCGAAAACAGCAGGGTAGCTGACTTCTTTTACTTCCCTAACTTTCTTGCTTATCTAATATAAGAAGTCGACGGGTTGTAAAGAAAGAAGGAACACAACCCCAAACCTCGAGCCTTGCAGACCCCCAGAACATTGGCCCTGCACGCCCACCTGCTCCTGCCATGTCTAGCAGTTAATGCATTGCCACCCACCCCTGCACTCACCGGGTCATCCCTTCATTGATACTTGCAACAAATCCTGCAATTGACCTCCGTCCAGCTGTGGTATCGTGGTAACAGTCAATGCCAACTATCATCGCCAGCTTTAGCTTTAACAAAAACACTGTAGTTTTAGGTACAACAAAACACCGGCAGTATTTAGAAAGCAAATCCATTTTTCTCAGACAGTGAAAACTTTTATGTACCAGTTAAATCAAACTTACAGGCATATCAATCCTCCAAAGCTCCCCGCCCATCTTGCAATTCATCTGCAGGGCGATCTTGGTAGCAATGGCCATGACTGTCTGCTGCTTGCCAAGAGTCCGGGCCACCACACACTGACTCGGAGTAGGGCAATCTGTACACAAGTATTTTTTAATAGCGTCGTATTTGTCTTTCCGATTACTCGACAACAGACAAACCACCTGAAACCAAAAGAATGTTCTCATTACAAAGAATCAGGAAGCTGATGAAGCTCAAGGAAGAGAACGGGAGGCAAGCCTGCCCACCGGGCATAAATGTCAGACACGGGTCTCTGCCACAGAGCTGACAAGCAGCACGCTCACTGCTGGGCACTGCCCACTCCACTCACCCAGCGATAGATGCTAATAAATGGAAGGAAACCATGTGAAGCTGATGACTCAAAACTGAACACCATGGGAATTTAGTTAAATATGCTCTAGTACCGCTTGGAATAACTTAGAGATAGGAAACAGGGCAAAACTAGTGATAACCTACAGGTGGACAAACAGAAGATCTTCTGCCATGCTCACAGTTCTCATCTACTGACGACCCACCTAGGCTCATGGCTTTTTCACTTTTAAAGCTCTGGCTTGAGACCCTGATCCCACTATGAAACTTCCCAGTGCATGGGACAGGTCTGGGGACCAGACTGCCTCATCTAAACACACTCCGGCCGGACATGGGAAGATGTCAGTCAAAGAGCACAAACTTCCAGGTCTGAACTGAGTAAGCTCTGGGGATCTACTGTACAGTCAACAATGCTGAGTTGTGCACTTGAGAGGGGCTCAAGCTAGATCTGAAATGTTCTGGGTACAAAACAAGTCAACCTATAATTTATGTGAGCTGACGGAGGAGGGAGCTAGCCCTGCTGAGATAATCACTCTGCCACATACACACGCATCAAAGGATCCCACTGTACACCGTCAACTCCCAGTGTTGTGCGTCCATGAGAACGCTGGAAATCAACCAATTCCTGCCCAATCCAAGTTTGTGTTTAGAGCTGACTCATTGCTGTGTTCTCTGATTTACACTCCCAGATTCTTCCCTCTTTTCTCTCGCCCCCAACAAAATCACTTTGCCATCCCAGGTGTCATTACTGCAGACAACGTAATAGTGCTCTGCCTGTGGCATTTAAGTAGGAGATGAAGGGCTAGAAAGCGAACAGATTAGTTGAAGCCAATTTACTTCTTAGCTTTAAAGCTACGCACATGTGTTGTTTATCATTTCATCTGTCCTGGCCACCTCCTTACTTATCCGGTGGTACGTGTGCTGAACAACCACATACTGACTTCTACTTGTGCGCCGATTCCCCACGGAATTTCATGGAACTAAAGCCTTGGAATCCAAATACCTCTCAGGCGGCTCTGTGCCCCCAGCCCTCCTTCACCAACTGCAGCCACACAACTGGGGCCAGCGTTAACAGCGCCACCTTACGGAGGTGAGGTCCGTATTTTCTGTGACCAGGTTGTGAACCGAATTACAGCGTTTCAAACTCCAATTCTAAGATTTACAAATGCACTTTTTAAAACAAGTCATTCCAGGACAACTGCCCATGTATCAGTTACTTACTATCTGGGTATCTGATGTAACCTTCTGCTGTAAGACTCTCAAATAGGCTTCAGTTCGATCATCCACTTCAATCCTAGAATGGAAATTCATTATCCAACATTCATAAAAAGTAATGAAAAATGTACCATGCATAAACAATTTCCCATAGATTATCACACACGAAACACTTCTGTATACAATAGAAAATAAAAACAAGAGTGGCCATGTAGGCAAAAGGTTGTTTCTAACGCAAACAGCAAAATAAATAATCTGAGAAACAGTATTGCTTGTTTTCTCCCCATTCTCAGTTACTAAAATACATTTCTACATCCCAATGACAGGGAACTGTATCAGATCTTTAAACAATCTAGTTAATGTGTTTAACATTTTTATCACTTTGGCGTTCCCACACCCTCCAAATGACTACTAATCAATTTTCAGAGTAGAAATGACTTGATAAACTTACATTATTGCTTTTTTCATTTGTATGCCCATGGCTGGTGTAACTTTAAATAGATTTTGTATCAATGAATTGGCTGCTTCATAATTTCTTCGAGTATAGATCAACAGCCAGTTATCTAGCGGCTTAACACTAATTAATGGTGCACCTCTTGTTTCTTTTGACCAATCTGCAAATTGTGGATTGTAATCAAACTAGAAGAAAGTTCAGAGACACTGTGAATTCCGCTGTATGTTCTCAGTGACAAAGCCAACAAGTCTGTAACAATTCTACCGTGGCATTCTGACCCTTAGGGCACTACTCTTCCATTTGGACTCTAGGGACAGACAAAATGCCCCAGCGGGGGAGAAAGGTACAGAAGTGTGTCCGAGGATGATGGGACCCTGTCACAGCTGGTACACAAGTGCTTCTCACCCCAGGCCCTCCCCTCGGTGCTTCCTGCACTCTCCTTCATCTTCTAAGACGTGACAAGGACAGGCGTTACGTCCCTTGTGATAAAGACACAAAACAAACACGGCTTGGAAAGTTAGGCAACTTGATGGAGGTGTTGAGTACTGAAAACAAGCAAGGCAGAAAGCTAACCAACTCGAAGCCCTGTGACGTGGTGCGCGTTCTCACAGAGGAAACCCCCAGTGCTGCTTCCGTGTCCTGCCCACCTCCCCCACACCCGCGGCACAGAGGTGTATACGCTGACCACTTCTACAGGAATAATACACACAACCGCTGTTAGGACATTAAGCTACATGGTTAGGCTGTTGTTCCTACAACACTTAGAAGGCAGAAGGGCAGTTTTCTATAAAAGGATTTTTAACGTTCTGGCCCTTGCAGTGTTGCCATACACAAAAATATTTTTACAATCCTCGCTTCCCTTTTCTGAGAAGAAAACATAAAAGGCATCACAATATTTACTATATAACCCTACAAACAAATAGCCCAGGCAAAAATGAAGCCAGATAAATTGGGAGTTTTCCGATAAAAGATCACTTCAGCGGCAGATAAAATACCAACCCGATCACTGACAATTCTTCTATACCTTAATTTAAGTAATTCTGCTATGAGAAACAAATTAAGCCAGCCTTCAGTGAAGTCTCCCCGGTGCCTGTGAGGACCAAGCTACAGGCTCCCCCATGCCCGCCTCCTTGCTCCCAGGAGTTGACAGAGTGGAGGTGGGAGGAGAGAAGAGGAGGTTAGGAACACAGACTGCCATGTAACAGGGTTTTCCTGCTAAATTTACTGTGAACCAGACCCAAATCTGATGGGATTGACAACTGAAGAACTGCCTTACTGTTTTTCCACCTTGGTGAATCTTTTCTGCTTGCAAAATTCTTCCTGAGAAGGACAGTAAGTTGGAGTCAAAGCTCAAACCCCAGTCTCGAAGCTCCCTCTGAACATTATCATCTCTGTAAATTTAACATATTTACGTACCACTCAACATAAGCAAACACAGCAAAAACAGACACACGCAAACAGAGATCCATGCCAACCTATGATACGTTTTCCTGTTTCTCTCAGGACTGAAATCCCAGAGAGAATGCCAAGAAAACAGGCTCTCCATTTCTCCCTCATCGTGTCTCTGTGTCTCTTCAGGACGGACTTTAACTTATAATTCTGATGCCCAAACTACCTTCCCTTCAAAGTAAACCCCTCTATGTTAAAGAGAGAAAATAAATTTGTCCAAGACATTTCACCTTCTGCTTTATTGCCTTTTGCTAATAGAACTAGAAAAGGCCACGGGCTACAGAGTTTAACTTTAATATTCCCTGACAAAGAGCAGGCTCACCTAGAAACACAAAGAACCCACCCCAAATACTGCAAATACAAAAGAAAAACAAAATGACTTTCTCCTCTCACTCCCCCAACCCACAGAAAATAATACAAAACTGGATCCATGCCCCAGTGGGATGCAGAGGACTTACTTATGAATATAATCAATGAGTCTTCCCACTTCACGCTGCCTTTGTTCTGGAGTCAGTCTTGTATGAACAGCTAAGTCTTTCATCACATTAAAATCATTACGCATCTTATCGGTTAGACCTTCAAATAAAATGTTGAAAGGTGTATCACTAGACAAACAAGGATCACATCTCAATATTTGGAGTGCAAACTGGTGAAGAGTGAGGGAAAGTGCAAGGAGAGGAAGCAGCAGGAAGGGCTTTTCCAGGGGCTGGTGGGGCTCCTAGGAGAGACAGGGAAGGCAGCCCCACCGCAGCGGTACCTGTAAGATAGCAGAGTTCTGGAATGAGCATCGCAGGGCCTGGCAAGGTGCCACCAGGGCCTCGCCTTCTCTTTGGTTGACTGACCAGAACAGGTTGCTTCAAGTCGGTGATTTCTTGGTTGTATTGCTAGTTAAGAAAAGAAGGTAACACTGTTCATGTAAATGTCTTTAGTAATAGATCAATGGACCAAGAAAAAGGGTTTTTTTTTTTTAAATTGAGAATTGATGCCAATAGCAAAGTAAAGCTTCAAAAGTGCATCTTTAACCCTACTAGAATGGCTTGTGACTTATAGGTGTTACTGAGTACCTCATCTTTCTTCCTAAAAACTAGAGCCTCACTGTCCTTGACCATCTAAATTCTGAATTTTAGTCACAGTTCACTCAGTGATTTTTTTGGTTTAGAAACAGAGAAGCCTGTGTATCTCTGGGTCCTTACGACAGAATTCCTCCAAAACCACTAGTTATTACAGTGAAAAGTGGTGTTAGGAAACAAGCCCTGAAATAACAATACATGAGGTGAAGGAAGAGGTTTGCGTGCCAGAGAACATTTTTAATTAGGAAAAGTTTTTACAGAAGGTAGAAGGTGAATTTCAATTCAGTAGTCTTTTTATTTAAAAGATTTGACGAACCATGAGGGACTCTGGACTCCGGGAAACAAACTGAGGGTTACAGAAAGGAGGGGTGGGGGGTGGGGCAGCTGGGTGACGGGCATTAAAGATGATGTGATGAGCACTGGGTGTTATATGCAACTAATGAATCACTAAACACTACATCAAAAACTAATGATGTACTACTATATGCATATATGATATATGATTAAAAAAAACAAAAATCAACAACAAAGAGATTTTATTTGAGAGCGAGCAAGCACGAGAGGGGGACGGTCAGAGGGAGATGCAGACTCCCAGCTGAGCGGGCAGCCCGACATGGGGCTCGATCCCAGGACCCTGAGATCATGACCTGAGATGCTTAACTGACTGAGCCACCCAGGCACCCCTCAATTCAATAGTCTTAAGATTCCCCACATACAATCACTAAGGTAAGTTTTCACAACCGGTAAAAAACCAAAAAACAAAAACTGCTGACTTTGGTGAGTTCACATATATGCACGAGATGGCTTGCGGGCCTCAGGCCTCCAGCCCTGGAACCAGGACAGGCTTCCTTGTGTCATCTCCGCTAGTTTCCGGCCCAACGTTCTTGAGACCCTCTTTCCCAGCATCTCCTGTATGCTCTCTTTTCACTTTCAGAGAAGAAGGTGTATCACTAGATACAGCACACAAGGGCTGAGCACCGTGACGGCCGTTCACCAGCAGAGAAGTACTTCCTGTCCTTATTCCCGTCCTATGCCAAGGTCCAGGCCACCTACCCTCAGGAACTAAGAGACCGTGAATTCTAGTCTGTTCTGACCTTATCCTATACTGAACTCTTTACCAACCATTCAGGGAAAAAGCTCATTTTCCTATTTTGGGTAAGGAAATTTCAAGAACCCTCTTATCTGACAGCTGCTCCATGTGCCTACACTACGTATTTCATCACACCATCTTCTTTATCTGGGTCCACCCACTGAATGCCCCCTCCCTTGCATGTCACTTACTGGGTGCACACACGAGCAAGAGTGTGGGAGTGGAGTCAGATGCATTCCTATGTCCACTCTATCTCACCAATGGGCCTTCAGTGCATGGTTCCTTGTTATACAACTTAGGGATCCCCTTCCTACATTCTTAGGGCCCAAACAAAAGCCTGTCAGTTCTTTTAACATCTTCCCCTACATCTAAAAACCTAGTACTTTCACTTGCATTTAACATTACTGTCAAACCTTTTCTTTTAAAAACTGACCATGATCCTCCCTTTCAAAGGCCCTTCTCTCTCCCACTCTGAGTGCTTCCTAAAATAGGATTTTTAATGCAGAACATCCAAGCCATCACTTATCAGGAAAACTGTAGCTCTACTAGGAAGTCCCAAGAAAGCTGTGATTCTTTGAAACATTTCAAACCTCACCCCATTCTGACTGACTCTATCTACTAAAGACGCCCAGTCAGCCCTGGCTGTGAGAGAAGTCTTCTGAAATCATCTGAGCTAAGACTAAGCCTAAGAACACGAGTCAGGTGCGCACAGTGTCCCAGGCAGGAGGAGCCTGGGGTCAGAGGAGATGGCCAGGGCAAGCAAGGAGGCAGGCGAGCACCAACACGCAGGCAGGGGCTACGTCACTCAGGGTCTCACTGGACACACACCAGTGCACGTCTGTACTGTGGGTAGAAGAAAAACATCAGAACTGTAGGAGTTTGAAAGTGGATCAGAAAGCAGGAGAAATGCAAACTGAGACCAGCTGAATGGGCACAGGGTCCACCCAGAAGAGGGCGGCCAGAGGAGGAGGAGGATGGAGGCATTTCAGACAGCGAGGCCTCCAGCGTCGCTGCAGGGTGAGAAGAGGCATGCAGGTCTGAGGCTTTAACTACCTGTTATGCATGTGTTCACTCACTCAGACACCCAAGTGCCTTCCAAGGCACTAGGGGGACATAAACCACAAAACACCTGACCTTGTGGAAGTTACAGTCTCTGCGCTGATCAAGAGCGCTGCACATGGGCCAGGTCAGGGGCCAGAACTCATTCAGCGTTGGTCACATGGAAGGGGTCTTTGAGATGTGCACTTACTGAGAACAAATAAGCTTAGACATGTCTGGGCTAGAGCTAGAAATCTGAGAACCGTGAACATAGCACAGACGAGCCTGGAGATCACCTAACAAGTTACTATGGAGTAACTGGGGGTTCCAGGCAGAACCTTGAGGTATGTCAACCAGTAGAAGCCGCTTAGACAGCAGTAAGCTGGCACGTAAGACTCACTGCTAGTCAGAGAAGGAGAATGTCCCCTGGCCTGGCTTCAGGTGGAAGCCAAACTTTCCACGGGTGTCTCCTTTGCAATTGCTGTTGATATATACCGACACTTCCTGTCACGACAGGGATTAGGAAACTACAGAAAAATGCTTATTTCTCACAGTAACTCTCACACCCAGAACGAATCTAGGTTAAACATGGCTCGGGTCCTCAAGGAGTTAAGAGGGTGAAAACAGTGGTAGGGAAATCAGGCTGAGATGGCCCCTGGCCTGTTTTCATTTTGCCCAAAAGAAGAGCAGCTCTTAATGCGGCTTCTCAGAGAGTCATTTCCTTCCAGAGTGCCATCTGACCTTTTCGTTCATAGCAGAGCAGCTGAAGCTCAGGCAACAGTACACGGTACAAAGACATTTCAAGGCCACCAGTCTGATGTGTAATTCTGACATAAGACACAAACATGTAACAGCTTCTTTACCCAGCTTTTTAGAAATAGGAAATGTACTGAAAGTGGGGAAAAATGAGATAAATCTTAACACTTAAAAGACAAGCATTAAGATTTTAACTGATTCATGTTTTAGAAATACTCCTTCTGCACTTGCAACTGAGCATATCAAATGGAATGCAACTTTCTAAGGATACGTGGTCAGACCTGCTTATCCCTGAACAACAATGTTAGTGTGTGTTCTGATGTAAACACTGTACTTTCTTCTAGTTGGCAGTAGGTCTTTCTTGCTATTTGCCTCTGCTGTTTTTTCAAGGATTACCACACCAACAGCTAGAATCATCTGTATGAAACTAGGGTTAGAAAATCACACAATAAAATGATCTAGCCTATATGGAACAAGGTGAATGTGTCAATATGTAGAACAAAAGAATTAACCCACACACTAACAATGAAGCAGCAGAGAAATCAAGGACTCCATCCCATTCACTATTGCACCAAAACCCGTAAGGTATCTAGGAATAAACCTAACCAAAGGGGCAAAAGATTTATACTCTGAAAAGTATAGAAACTCATGAAAGAAACTGAGGAAGACACAAAGAAATGGAAAATTGTTCCATGCTCATGGAGTGGAAGAACAAATATTGTTAAAATGTCTATATTACCCAGAGCAATCTATACATTCAAAGCAATTCCTATCAAAAT